AATCCTCTCACCCTCCACATCTCTGGCCTGTACCCCAGTTCTGTATGCATAAATAAATCTTTAAAAAAAAAGTTTAAATGACATTGTTTGAAGTCTGTTTTGTCTGATGTAAGTATAGCTGTTCCTGCCTTCTTTTTTGGTCCATTTGCTTGGAGGATTGTTTTCCATCCTTTTATTTTCAATCTGCTTTTATCTTTTGTAGTTAAATGTGTTTCCTGTAAACAGCAGAATGATGGGTTCTGTTTTTTAATCCATCCTGCAACTCTGTGTCTTTTTATTGATGAGTTTAAGCCAAAATGACACTATTGAAAGGAAACTCCAGAAGATGTTCCTAAATGCTCAGAATCCAGTGGATAGAAAGTGGTGTGTGGATGTGGGTGTATGTGCTTGTGTGTTTTCACACGCTTTTGTTCCAAGACAGTTTTGAGCATTTAGTTTGAGAGAATTAAGTGAGGAGTAAGATTGATGCTTTGAACTTTCTGAGGAGAAAGCAGAGGACACGCTAACCAGAGGTGAGTCTTGTGCACAGCAGGATTTGATGCCTCAGGGACACAGGGACAGAGGTGAAGGTGTGCGTAGCATGCCCATGACCCTTCTTAGTGGCAGTTTTACTTGTCAGCATATTTCTGAAGTGCCTTCCCTGGTAAGCAGAGGGAAGAGCGCTCACTCATCTGGAGCCACTCTCATTGGAAGAGTTGCACAGAAACCTAACCTGTAAGTGTATGTGTCACACAAAGAAATGAAAATCGAGAAATGCGGTAGAATCGATAGCAAACATTCTGAATTTTACTTCCATCCGTGCAAGGTAAAGTTTCTGTGTTTGCTATGGCATCTCGGCTGATTTTAGTTTCTAAAAGCAGTTAAACTGAAAATGTATGTAATTATTTAAATACAAGCTAGTATTTGTAAGTTTTCCTTTCTTGAGGAACTTTTTGCATTCCCAGGTTTTTTGTTCGTTTTAAATCATAGAATCAGCTAACTTCTGGCCCTTAGATGATTAGAATTCCATATCCACCTTTTCTGCAGGCCTTGTAACACTTTAGGGGTGCAGTTTCTCTCAACATCCCCTGATTTGCATGAGTCTGTAAAGGGCTTGGAGTCAAAGCTCTCGGCTCCCTGGCACAGTCTGTAGTCTTGCTGCGACCGATTTGACACTGAGTCTTGTTTGTTGTTTTTTGTTCGTTGCTGTCTGGAGCTGTTTCGCCTCAGTGTTGAGGTGGTTTAACCACCCTGGTGTTTGTGTTTGATCAGAAAGCAGATGACTTAGCCTTGAAGCCTTCTCCAAACTGGGACTTCTGTACACAGTGGCAGCTCCAGCTCTTAATGCCCCATGCTCCCCTCAGGACCTGCCCAGGAGATTTACCGAGGGGCTTTTCAATTTTAAGAAATAATCTTCTGACTTGAAATGTATTTAATTTCAAGTTAACCATTTTCCAATGCTGTAGTCAAGTTTTCTCTAGGTTGATAAGACACCTGTGAAAAGTAAAAATTTTGTAGGCCCTCCCTGGTGGCACAACAGGTTAAAATGCAGCACTACATAGCCACAGCCACTTCAGCACAAGTTCGATCCCCGGCCAGGGAGCTGGCCCACATGGGGCAGCAGACCTCTCCTGTCTCCCCAATGTTCCCCTCAGCAGTGTACTTTGTCAGTCTGTCTGTTCTGCTCCCCACTCTGTCTCTGGTGTATCCTCTCACTGCTCCTGCACCTCTGGTCTGTACCCCAGTTCTGATTGCATAAAAAAATAAGTTTTTTACTGCTAAACATGGAGCTTCCCTACAACCCAGCAATCCCACTCCTAGGTATCTACCCAAAAGACACAAAAACACTGATTGAAAAAGATACTTGTA